TATAAATAACTTTTATTTATATGAGATTTTGTACTTTCTATTTTTTAAAACATGTGCATCTATTACCTAAAAATATTAGAACACTATAACATATAAAGCAAATATTAAAAATTACTTCAAGATCTTTTTTTCAGGGAAAAACCTTTTGGGAAACCATTCTTAAAGTATTTAAATGATGCAGCCCTAGCCAGATAATTCAGTTGGTTAGAGCATCTGAATATGCCAAGGCTGCCGGTTTGATTCCTGGTCAGGGCACATACAAGAATCAACCAATGAATGCATAAATAAGTGGAACAACAAATGGATGTTTCTTTCTCTCTAAAAAAAAAAATTATGTTGGCCCCACTGAAGATGTGGTATGCCAATTTTAAAGAAATTTAATGGAGGGTCAAAACGTTTTTTTCTGAAACTGTCAAAAAACATAGTTCCTTTTATAGCCAGATGAAATTAATAATAAAAACATTATCATTTATAACACAAGTTCACAAATTTTAATCCATCCTACATATTACTGCCAGATTAATCTTTCTAAAACATTGTTTTAATTCGCTATCCTGTTCAAAGCCCCCTCAATAACTCTCCAATGTTTAGACGAAAGAATCTTCCAGACTGTTTAATTTACCAAGCTACATTTCCAGTATTACTTTTTAGTACTTTCCTACATAGTGTCAAACATTAGTCAGCCATGTCATTTCACAAAAAAGGTCTTGCCTTTTCTTACATTTGGGAATTTCCGTAAGTTGTTTGTTGCTACTTTACCTTTTTCACCAATTGTCATTTTACCCTTATTCCAAGTCTCATCTCTAAAAATGTTTCTTCCACGAAACCCTCCTTGATTATCCAGACAGTGTTCCATCCTTTCTCTGAACATCTACAGCTCACTGGGTCTGACCACTACCTTACTGAACTATAACTGCTTTTGTGTTTGGGTTTATCTTCCCTACTTCATAGGTTTTATGCTCACAGAAGGCAAAGACTATGATGTTTACCACAGCACTACACCTTGCATTACATAACTAAAAAAACCTTTAATATGCAAATATGGTTGGGAGAAGTTAAAAAAACAAGAAAACTAACATCTTTACTCAGAGTATAAAAACTGATAATATAGCTTTTCTTATTTTGATAAAAGGACAAAGGACAAAGGCAGACTAAAAGGGGAGAAAAAGGAAAGACTGGACATGGCAACTTGCATTTGTACAATTTTTCTAAAATTTATTCTACTGATCTATAGGAATGGGCAAATAAACCTGAACAGTATATTCTAGTATGTTGTGTGTTATTAAATGAGCACAATGTTGGAATAGTTGTTAAAAAAGAGAAAACTCTGAATCCTGACGTTGTAAAGGGAAAAAATCCTTATATATCAAATTTTCTCTTTGAAGTTATGACCTTTCAGATTTCTGCTTTTGCTTTAGTTGTCAAGAAGCTCTCATGTAAATTTAGGACTTAACTACGTCAACCACTGTAACACAGGTTTGAGGTATCATCTTTCTGTTTTTTATATTACGTGTTTTTATAACCCATTTTATAAGGAAACAGGATGTCAATAATAATAAATATATTTAACTTCTATTTTGCAGATTATTTTTCAGATTTTCAACTTGGTTAATGGCATCACATTCCTATTTTGCAGATTTTTATCAGCATTTTTCAATTTGGTTAATGGCATCACATTCCAAATAAACCCAGGCTATATTAGACCAAATATATATACACTAGAGACCCGGTGCACAAAAATTTGTGCACTCGGGGGGGTCCCTCAGCCTGGCCCGTGCCCTCTCGCAGTCTGGGACCCCTCGGAGGATGTCCACCTGCTGGCTTAGGTCCACTCCCTGGGGGATCGGGCCCAAACTGGCAGTCAGACATCCCTCTGGCAGCCCAGCAGCCCTCAGGGGATGTCCACTTACCAGCAGGGAGCAGACTTAAGCTGCAGTCGGACATCCTTAGTGCTACTGAGGAGGTGGGAGAGGCTCCTGCCACCACCACTGTGCTGGCAGCCATCAGCCTGGCTTGTGGCTGAGCAGAGCTCCCCCTGTGGAAGTGCACTGACCACCAGGGGACAGCTCCTGCATTGAGCATCTGCCCCCGGTGGTCAGTGTGTGTCATAGTGACCAGGCATTCCCAGTCGTTCTGCTGTTAGGGTCAATTTGCATATTACTTTTATTATATAGGATAGAGGCCTGGTGCATGGGTGGGGGCTGGCTGGTTTTCCCTGAAGGGTGTCCCAGATCAGGGTGGGGGTCCCACTGGGGTGCCTGGCCAGCCTGGGTGAGGGGCTGATGGCTGTTTGCAGGCTGGTCCCCCCCTCTTCACGGTGGGGGTCCCCACTGGGGTGCCTGGCCAGCCTGGGTGAGGGGCTGATGGCTGTTTGCAGGCTGGTCCCCCCCTCTTCACGGTGGGGGTCCCCACTGGGGTGCCTGGCCAGCCTGGGTGAGGGGCTGATGGCTGTTTGCAGGCTGGTCCCCCCCTCTTCACGGTGGGGGTCCCCACTGGGGTGCCTGGCCAGCCTGGGTGAGGGGCTGATGGCTGTTTGCAGGCTGGTCCCCCCCTCTTCACGGTGGGGGTCCCCACTGGGGTGCCTGGCCAGTCTGGGTGAGGGGCTGAGGGCCATTTTCAGGCTGGCCAAGCCCCCCGGCGACGGAAGCTCCCAGCCTCTCCTTTTTTTCTTTCTTTTTTTTAATTCTGGGATTTATTTACCTTCTATAATTGAAACTTTGTAGCCTTGAGTGGAGCTCAGAGCCGGCCAGGGCGGGCGGGAAGCTTGGCTTCCTCCATCGCCAGGGGCAACCCAAGCCTCCTGCTTGCTCAAGCTCCGTGGCCACTGCCGGCTGAAAGCAGGTACCTGGGGTTATTTATCTTCTATAATTGAAACTTTGTTGCTTGAGTGGAGCTCAGAACTGGCCACGGCAGGCGGGAAGCTTGGTTTCCTCCATCACTGGGGCAACCAAGCCTCCTGCTTGCTCCAGCTCCGTGGCTGCCGGCCGCCATCTTGGTTGGGTTAATTTGCATATAGTCGCTCTGATTGGCTGGTGGGCATGGCTTAATGCATAGCGAAGGTACGGTCAATTTGCATGTTTGTCTTTTAATAGTGTAGATTGGGAAACCAGGGCAAGAAGTACTGCAACATTTTAAATTGCTTCAAAAGAATACTCAATAGCTTCATTCATTCATTCATTCATTCATTCATTTATCTGTCAAGCAAATTATTTATTGGAGATATAATCGAAGCATGACCTTGTTCTGGTCACTAGAAATAAACTGGTTTATAAAACAAAGTATCTGCCCTCACAGAGCTGAATATTCAAATGAAGGCAACAGACAAACAAACATTTATTCAACAGAAAGAGGTAGCACCAAATGATAGGAAGAAAAAAGACCAGAGGAGAAAATGAGAGAATGACATGGTCAGGAAAAGCCTAAGCTATCCCAATGGAAAAGTTGCACAGTTGTACATGAGTGTCAGAGTTCAGGCAATAGATTCAGGATACATATATATTTGGGAACCATTAACATATAAATGGTTCTTTAAGCCACTACCATGGATGAAATTACCTAAAAGGGAACTACATATAGAAAATAGGTCCAAGGGACAAATCTGTGTTACTCTGATGAAATAAATGACATCTGCAAAACCAAGTAAATATGTGACCATATGAAGTGATTTGAATGCTGACTGACAGTTTCCAAAAGAACACTAAAGGAAAATCAAACAGTGAGAGCAGTAGCATGATATTCTGACATACTAGATATATAACATAATAGTTAAATATACTACATCTCAGATTATAAAATGTTTGTCAATTTTACTTCCAAGGCAATTTAAACCTTATCCCTAAATCTTATAAAATGAAAATTTATCAAATTTACATAAGAAAATTCAACTAACTCTCTTTCAAGTGGAAGAAACAATCTCTGTATAACTGAGGTCCTGCCAAGATCTTTAGAGAAATGGTAGTTATAAAGACATGACCTTTCTACAGATTCCTTTATTTCTAACTTGACATGTTCATCCAATAATAATCTTCTTTTCTATATCTAGAATTCAATACCAATTCAGGATTTGGTTGAAGCTATTTCCCACTAGGGTACAACTTTACATAAAAATCAACTTAACCAGAGAAAGTGTAACAAGTAGGAAAGCACTACACAATTTTTATTTAAAACTAGAGGCCCGGTGCATGAAATTCGTGCACTCAGGGGGTGGGGAGGGTATCCTTCAGCCTGACCTGCGCCCTCTCGCAGTCCGGGAGACCTCGGGGAGCAGGCCTAAGCCATCAGTCAGACATCCTTACACTGCCATGGAGGTGGGAGAGGTTCCCGCCTCCGCCGCTGCACTCACCAGCTGTGAGCCCTCAGGGCTTCTGGCTGAGTGGCGCTCCCCCTGCGGAAGTGAACTGACCACCAGGGGGAAGCTCCTGTGTTGAGCAACTGCCCCCTGGTGGTCAGTGTGTGTCATAGCAACTGGTTGTTCCACTGTCTGGTCGATTTGTATATTAGCCTTTTATGATATAGGATGTTCATGTTAGAAGTACATGCTCCACTCCCCATAAACATATCCATTTTGAATTGTATTTTCTTTTCTTTTTTTGTTAATCCTCACCTGAGGATATTTTTCCATTTATTTTTTAGAGAGAGTGGAAGGGATGGGAAGAGAGAGAAAAAAAACATCTATTGCAGAGACACATTGATTGGTTGAGTCCTGAACACTCCCTGACCAGGGCCGAGGATGTAGCCTGCAACCAAGGTATGTGCCCTTGACTGAAATCGAACCCGGGACCCTTCAGTACTCAAGCTGACGCTCTATCCACTGAGCCAAATCAGCTAGAGCTGTATTTCCTTGAAATATTGTCAAAATCTACAAAGATGATTATAATAATTATGTTTCATATATAATTTGGTTTATACATATAAAATACTTGTTTTGAATGCTTCCTGGGTGTCAAGAGAACAACATTTTAACAATGGTAAACATACCATGAATCACCTGAAATATAATAGTGTGGCTTAACTCAGTTTATTTTTACCATATGCAACATCAAAAACATTTGCTGCTTTCTTATGGAAATTATTTTCTCAACAATAGATGTTACCTTGGAGTAGACATATTTAGCAACTTGCAAATGACACGGGGAAACAAGAATAGGAAGCAATTCATACCTGTTTTATGGCAGTTACTGTTATCACAAAGAATAATGGAAGTCCACTGGTAATTGGACTGGTAGGTGTATCAATCATAAGCTGGATTTTAAAAAAAAGAATGCAGAATATTATATTTTTATATTGTACATATCATGCTATTAACATCTTAAATCTCAAACATACTAGGAATTCTGAGAACACTACACAAAATGAGTATCATAGTCCAGAGTAAAAATAATAGGAGGGACATATTATACAGTGAGGATAATTTAGTTCAGTTTTACAAGTTCACTTTATTGGCTCTTATATGGGTTAGAATATCTAAATCTACTGGATACCCACAAATATTGTTAGAGTAGACTCAGTCATTTATCTGCCTTCTTAACAGAGAGTACTTCAGTTCTTCCTCAATATTTGCCAAGGAGTGGAGCTACAGCTGCTCTGAATCTCATTTCACACTTCTTCGCCCATCCTGATAAATGCTGAAAAGTCTGTCAGTAATTTTTATGCTGGGATTCAGAATAAACTCACTACTTAGGGAGACAGAGCAAGGAATGGGACTAGAGAAAGAGTTTTTCTTCCATAAGTGATTTTGTTAAATCTAGCAGAGCCAGAAAGGGTACAGCTTGGAAAATGATGCTGCAATTATTATGTACATCATACAACTGAGGTTTTAAAAGCTGCTGGAGAAGTAAAGAAATTTCTGCACTAATTATGTTTTGCTAGTTAGAATATGACTCTAAATAATTTACTATTAATGTTCCTTTACACCATAGAGGACAATTAAATTTGTTCTATTCCACAGAGAAGCTGAATTCCTGATTTTAGCTGGTAATTTCACAAACGCATGTTATGTGACACGGTTAGTATAAATTTCTCACTTTCCCGAGAAAACCAAGCCGATGTTCTATTGATAAAAAAAAAAAAAAAATCAGAAGTTTCTTCTCTGTTCACGAAGAAAAGCAATTTTTAGAAAATAGTAAATGTTTCCTCAAGCTTTAAAGTAATAACTTGGCAAGTGTTTTTTTTCTTTTGAAATTCTAGGTTCTACTGAGAGAAAAGTTCAGAGTTCATACGAAAATTCAATGCCACATTGAAAGAGACTGCTAAAGTATTATCAGAAAAAAATAATCTTTTTAAAAGAAAATAGTAATAACTATTTTTAAATATTGATTCATATTCAAGTTTCATAAGCTATTCTCTTGATATTTTGATATTAAGAAAAAAAAGCAATGTGAAATTAAGAACCTGTTAAATAGTCTATAATTAATACTGGTTCAAGTTAAAAAAAACGGTCTCCTAAACAAAAATCTATTTTCATGAGGATTTTTAAAAATGAAAAAAAAATTATTTTAAATAAAAGTAAAATTGACATTAAGAAAAAAAAAGAAAAATTCACTTTGTACCAAGATGGTTCTATAGGCAAAAATGTGCCAAAAACATGTGCTGCATATTAAAACCCAAAATATTTATGTTCTGAACAAGCATCTGAAAGATGATGTTATTTTCTTGGCTTTGGTTATCAGCACCACAGCATATCAATAATGAAACAAATAAAATTAATCTTAAAATTCACTGGCTAGTTTTTAGAAATCTAGATGTGGTTAAATAATTGTATTCATTGAATACGATGGGTAAGCTCTGCAGAAAAAAAATATGACCCCAAAAGCAAATGATTTAGAATGCTATGTAACTTTTCCCTGACAACATATTTTTAGAAATTTTATCTATAAATTTAACGATCTATTGAATGATAAAGCTTACCTGAACCAAAAATATAATAAGAAAATAAAAATTTGCCACTCTTCTGAATTGTTCAAATAAATTCTTTGGAACAAAATTCCACACAGTGTACTAAAAAAAAAAGAGAAAGAGAAGAGAACAACAAATTAATGTTTAAAAATAATATACACTCTATGGACAGAATAATAAAAGTGAAATCCAATTTACTAAGCTCTTAGCCAAATTCATGTAACTCTTTTTTTAATGATTGAAATTTGTTGGATTTCTTTCTTTCTAAAGTTTACAAAAAATAAAATAAAATGAAACGCTTCACAATTTGTATGCTATACTAATCTCTATATTGTTCCAATTTTAGTATATATGCTGCTGAAGTGAGCACTTGTGTAATTCTTATTTTATTGTTGACTCTATTATAGATGTCCCCCATTTCCCTACCCCATTTGCTCCTTTCACCCTGCCCCAAGCTATAGAAACTATCTGATTTTTAGAGTCTCAAAATTTCATTCTACTCTTTTTCCTTTTACTATTTATTGGCAATTTTAGTATAATTTTTAAAAATAAGGTAAACTGTAACCTAGCAATTTTTCTACTAAATTCTTGATATTTTAGAAGCTGGAGAAGACAGATATAAAACAACATTTAAAAAAAAATTGTTTAGCCCTGGTCAGTGTGGCTCAATGGTACTACTGTCAGCCCATGCACCAAAGGGTCTCAGGTTCAATTCCAATCAAGGGAACGTACCTGGGTACAGGAGGCAACCAAGTAATGTGCTTCTTTCACATCAATATTTCTCTCCTTTTCTTCCCCTCAGCTCTCCCTTCCACTCACTCAAAAAATAAATGAAAAAAATATCCTGTTGAGGATTAACAAAAAAATAAAAATAAAAAATACTTTAGATAAGTGATCATTAGAATACTCACCAAGAAAATCTCATAAAGGATATGAAAATCTTTCACAATTTAAAGTAAAACAGTGAAGCATAATGGTTAAGAACATAGATGGTAGGGGGTTTAAATTGTTCTGGCCTACATCCTAATTCAAGGTCACTAAATGACCTTGTTAACCTCTATAAAAAGAGGACAATAATAATCATATTGTATTTTATAATCATGTTATAAAAAGACTGAATGAGCTAATATATTTACAAAGCAATTAGGAAATAACCTGGCTCATATTAATTGCTATGTGTCTGATATATTATTAATCAACTCATAAGCCTGTAATCTATACTAATTATAGAGGAATATGCAAATTGTCTGGGACGCCATCGCAGTAACAGTAACGACCAGCAGGTTGCATGGGGCGACAAGTCTGGCATGGGGGTTAGTGAGGGACGACCAAACGACTGAACAGCAGGCTGTGTGGGCGACCAGGCCAGCAGGGGGGTTAGTGAGGGACGACCAAACGACTGAACAGCAGGCTGTGTGGGTGACCAGGCCAGCAGGGGGGTTAGTGAGGGACAACCAAACGACTGAACAGCAGGCTGCGTGGAGTGACCAGGCTGGCAAGGAGGGCAGTTGGGGGCGACCAGGCCGGCAAGGGGTGGGGGGGCAATTAGGGGTGACCGGGTCGGCAGGGGTGGCAGTAAGAGGCGACCAGGCTGGTAGAGGGGGGGCAGATGGGGGTGACCAGGCCGGCCGGGGAGGGGGGCGGCAGTTGGGGGTGACCAGGCAGGCAGGCAGGTGAGCAGTTAGGAGCCAGCGATCTCGGATTGTGAGAGGGATGTAGGACTTCCGGTTTATCGGGCATAACTGGCAGTCAGACATCCCCCAAAGGGTCCCGGATTGGAGAGGGTGCAGGCTGGGCTGAAGGGACCTCCCCCCCATGTACAAATTTCGTGCACTGGGCCTCTAGTACTATATAATAGGGGCAGGGTACAAATACAGTACAAATTTCACTTGTGTCACTCATTACAACACAACTTCATATATGAGACAGGAAAACACTTTATAAGCACTGTTACGTTACCCTATGTACATTCTCCCAGTAGAATGTAAGATCCCTGAGGATAGGAATATTGTTTTATTTATTGCTCTATCTGGCAATTATACTATTACTTGGCACATAGTTGGAGATCAAAACTTTAATAAAATAGATGAATCCTATATAATAAAAGGGTAATATGCAAATTGACCCTAATGGTGGAATGACCAGAACTACTGCTCAACCAGTCACTACCAGGTACACTGACCACCTCTTGGTCCTTTCCCCGGCCGGCAGGCTCCAATTGCCCGATGGCGAACAGAGAGCCGGGGGTGTGTGGCGGCAGGGGGCAGGGGGCAGGGGGCAGGGCTTGCTGCGGGCAGCTGGGGAAGATGGCCGCAGGGGGGCAGGGCTTGCTGCGGGCAGCTTGGGAAGATGGCCCTGATCGCAAGCCAGGCCTAGGGACCGTACCCATGCACAAATTTCGTGCGCCAGGCCTCTAGTAAATAAATAAACATGGTTGAAATGTTTGGGGTTTTTTTCCAGATAACTATCCTGATGTCAAGCAATGAAGCCTTAATTGACAATTCAAGATATTTAAAGAGACATTTTACCTAATTTTATCTGGTGCAATGTAAGACGGTTCTAATTTCTAAAATTGTGTATGTCAAAAATTTACTTTTTAATCAGTTGGTTTGAGACCTGAAACTTCCTTTCCCATATGAGCAATTTATTTTTTAATCCCCAACCAAGGATATGTTTTTATTGATTTTTTAGAGAGAAAGGAAGGGGGGAGGGGAGGGAGAGAGACAGAGAGAAAGAAAGAAAGAAACAGTGATGTGAGAAAAACATCCATTGGTTGCTTCCTGTACACGCCCCGACTAGGGATCAAACCCATAACTTAGGTATATGTTCTGACCAGTTAGATTCCCAAAAGAGCCCACAAAAGCAAATATTTATACAATAACTAACAATCTTTTTTCTTAGGTGAAATTATATTTTTCAGTTCTAATCTAGGATACCTGACACATATTTTCCTGTAGTAGAACCAGTGGCTCCAGATTCTGGGATTGGGATTTATGTCAGGGGTCTATAAAGAAGAGAGGTAGATACTTCCCAGCACCAAAACAAATTGCTGTTCGATAACTATACATGAGATGGTAATAACTCTGTTTCAAATAATCTCTAGCTGATCTTAACCGGAGTAAAAATACAGTTGTCCCTACAGGGGTCAGAGTATTCCATGTAACTTCCTCAGTCATCAAATCAAATATATAAACTTTATAAGAATTACGTCGGCAATGTCCTAAGTTTACATCAAGCTATTTAAATTAAAACAGTGATAATATATTTTGTCTTTCAGAATGCTGAAAAGAACAACTACATAAATTGGCAATCATCTAACTCTACAACTCAAAGAATTAGAAAGAGAGCAACAAGAAAACCCCAGAGTGAGCAGAAGGAAGGAGATAATAAAGATTAGAGCAGAAATAAATGACATAGAGACCAAAAAAACAATACAGAAAATCAATGAAACCAAGAGCTGGTTCTTTGAAAGGATAAACAAGATTGACAAACCTCTAGCCAGGCTCACCAAAAAGCAAAGAGAGAGGACCCAAATAAACAAAATCAGAAACGATAGAGGCGAAATAACAACAGACCCCACAGAAATACAAATGATTGTTAAAAAATACTATGGACAGCTCTACTCCAACAAACTAGACAACCTGGAGGAAATGGACAAATTCCTAGAAAAATACAACATTCCAAAACTCAATCAGGAAGAATCTAAAAATCTCAATAGGCCAATAACTATGGAAGAAATTGAAGCAGTCATCAAAAAGCTTCCAGCAAACAAAAGCCCAGGACCAGACGGCTTCACAGGGGAGTTTTACCAAACATTCAAGGAAGAACTAAAACCTATCCTCCTCAGACTACTACAAAAAATCCAAGAGGAAGGAACACTTCCAAGCTCATTCTATGAAGCCAGCATCACCCTAATACCAAAACCAGGTAAAGACAACACAATGAAAGAGAATTACAGGCCAATATCCCTCATGAACATAGATGCCAAAATCCTCAACAAAATCTTAGCAAATCGGATCCAGCAGTACATCAGAAAGATCATACACCATGACCAAGTAGGATTTATCCCAGGGATGCAAGGATGGTACAATATCCGCAAATCAATAAACGTGATACATCACATAAACAAATTGAAGGAAAAAAACCACATAGTCATATCAATTGATGCAGAAAAAGCATTTGACAAAATCCAACACCCATTTTTGATAAAAACTCTCAGCAAGGTGGGAATAGAAGGATCATACCTCAACATAATAAAAGCCATATATGACAAACCCACAGCCAACATCATACTCAATGGACAAAAACTAACACCATTTCCCCTAAAAACAGGAACAAGACAGGGATGCCCACTCTCACCACTCCTGTTCAACATAGTACTGGAAGTATTAGCCATTGCAATTAGGCAAGAAGAAGAAATAAAAGGCATCCAAATTGGAAAAGAGGAAGTAAAACTGTCCTTATTTGCAGATGACATGATATTATACATACAAAACCCTAGAGACTCCATCAAAAAGCTACTAGACTTAATACATGAATTTGGCAATGTAGCAGGATACAAAATTAACCCCAAGAAATCTGAGGCATTTCTATACACCAATAGTGAACTTTCAGAAAGAGAGATTATAAAAACAATCCCATTTACCATCGCACCAAAAAAATTAAGATACCTAGGAATAAACTTAACTAAAGAGGTAAAAGACCTCTACTCAGAAAACTACAGGACGTTGAAAAAAGAGATAGAGGAAGACATAAACAGATGGAAGAACATACCGTGTTCATGGATTGGTAGAATCAACATCATTAAAATGTCCATACTGCCCAAAGCAATCTATAAATTCAACGCACTTCCCATTAAAATACCAACGGCATATTTCACAGACCTAGAACGAACTCTCCAAAAATTCATCTGGAACAAAAAACGACCCCGAATAGCTGCAGCGATCCTGAGAAAGAACAAAGTAGGTGGGATCTCAATGCCAGATATCAAGCTGTATTACAAAGCCACTGTTCTCAAAACTGCCTGGTACTGGCACAAGAACAGACATATAGATCAGTGGAATAGAATAGAGAGTAAAAATACTAGAGGAATCCAAAGGCAACAAAATCTCAGACATATGCCGAAGCAATTTCTTCACTGATACAGCTCCTAGGGCAGTTGAAACTAAAGAGAAAATGAACAAATGGGACTACATCAAAATAAAAAGCTTCTGCACAGCAAAAGAAACCATCAACAAAACAACAAGAAAACCCACTGCGTGGGAAAACATATTTGCCAATGTCATATCTGATAAGGGCCTAATCTCCAAAATTTATAGGGAACTCATACAACTTAACAAAAGGAAGATAAACAATCCAATCAAAAAATGGGCAAAGGACCTAAATAGACACCTTTCAAAAGAGGACATTCAGAAAGCCAAGAGACATATGAAAACATGCTCAAAGTCACTAATCATCCGAGAGATGCAAATCAAAACAACAATGAGGTACCATCTCACACCTGTCAGACTGGCTATCATCAACAAATCAACAAACGACAAGTGCTGGAGAGGATGTGGAGAAAAAGGAACACTTGTGCACTGCTGGTGGGAATGCAGACTGGTGCAGCCACTATGGAAGACAGTATGGAGTTTCCTCAAAAAACTGGAAATGGAACTCCCATTTGACCCTGTGATCCCACTTCTAGGAATATATCCCAAGAAACCAGAAACACCAATCAGAAAGGATATATGCACCCCTATGTTCATAGCAGCACAATTCACCATAGCTAAGATTTGGAAACAGCCTAAGTGCCCATCAGTAGATGAATGGATTAGAAAACTGTGGTACATCTACACGATGGAATACTATGCTGCTGTAAAAAAGAAGGAACTCTTACCATTTGCAATGGCATGGATGGAACTGGAGAGCATTATGCTAAGTGAAATAAGCCAGTCAATGAAGGAAAAATACCACATGATCTCACACATTCATGGATAATAGAGACCATTATAAACTTTTGAACAATAATAGATACAGAGGCAGAGCTGCCTCAAACAGATTGTCAAACTGCAGCAGGAAGGCCGGGGAGGGTTGGGGGGCAGGAGGGAAGGGGGTAAGAGATCAACCGAAGGACTTGTATGCATGCATATAAGCATAACCAATGGACATAAGACACTGGGGGGTAGGGGAGGCCAGGGGATTGTCAAGGGCGGGGAAAAAAAGGACACATATGTAATACCCTTTGTAATACTTTAAGCAATAAAAAAATTAAAAAAAATAAATAAATTGGCAGAAAGGTAATTGGTTTTGGGACATTTCCTTTGGCTAGCTCAATAATGCAATGGAAAAAGTTAGAATAAATAAGAATTTCTTATGAAAATTAGCTTACAGATGTTAGGGATTGCTGTTTCCAGGTTTTCTAAAATACAAATATATTAATAAATTAAATGAGTTTAAATTCTGTGCTTGTCCTGTCTTATGTAGAAGAGGGACACTGGTAAAATAATATTAAACAATATGAAAATATTCTGAGAAAACTAATGATTTATCATGCTTTAAAAATTGCAAATTTTTATGTAATAATGGGCAAGAAATATGAATTAGAAATATAACTTCTCTGCAGTTATGTATATGACTGTATAGTTGACTTTTCTCCTTTGTAAGGTCTGACATTAGTAAGAGAACAAAAGAAAGATATAATATTAAATCTTTTGCAAAGAAGTTTAAATTTAAAATAAGGTAGTCAGTATGGTAAATTAAATTAAACCAAAACATATCATGCATCTACAACATGCAAGACACTTGCACTGTAAGAGGAACAATGATAAATTCAATATTAAATAAAGGGGATTAAGAACAAAATATCAATAGATGCATTCAAAGATAAAAAATGAAGAAATATACAAAGAATTGAAAGGAAAAAGCAGTTAGAAAGGAAAATTTAATAACACAGGTCATATTTGACATGGGCTATAAGATAGGAAATTCACAGGCTGAAATAGAGGGCAAATAGAGGAAGAACATTTTGGGAAGGAAGGACAGTATGAATAAAGGCAAAGAGGAGGAAAGTTCATTATGGCTTTGTGGAATAAAAGATAATGCACTCTGGAAGAGTTTAAGGGAACAACAGTACACTAAAAAGGTAGTAAAAAAGGAGTAATAAAAGCCAGCCTCATTTGTGGTCAGAAAAAAAAAAAATTGGCCAGAGGGAAGCCAGGGTCCCAGGTGCCAGAGGGAAGCTGGTGTTTGCAGCCCAGGGAAAGAAGGCCTACTCTTGCAAAAATTTCGTGCATCGGGTCTCTAGTATACATATACAGGCAGTCCTCGGGTTACATCAGACTCGACATACGTCCTTTCATGGTTATGTTGCCATCTCCCATTTATTTATTAAAAAAAAAAAGTTCCATCATTATGACATATGTACGTATGTGCTTTATGTTTTTTATTATTTATTTACCACAAGTAAAGGTCAGGAATTGTTATCTTTCTTTTAAATTTTTTTCACTGTTTCACTTCATTACTGCTGTGTATGTGCTCCAGGTGAGTGACGTAGGTGCTTATGTAGGTGGATTCCGACTTACAGAGAAAATTGCATTACATTGCGCCGTAGGAACAGATCTCTGACGTAACCCGAGGACCTACTGTGTGTATGTGTGTGTGTGTGTGTGTGTGTGTGTGTGCGCATATATATACATATATGTATATGTATGCATTCTTGAAATTGTGGTAAAAAACATTAATTCTACATTTCTACAAAAACATGCAATCTACAAACTGCAAAAACATAAAGTCTATATTTTAAAAATCATGGTTATCAACATGAAATCATAGCGAAGGCACAGTGGTAGAGAAGTTCAATATGACTATAAAATAGCAGGTAATCTGGTTTGGAAGTAGTTTAAGAAAACAGTAGTGGAATAAGGAAGTAATAAGGGAGTAATGAGAGAGTTTTCATATGTGCTACAAAAAAGGGGCAATACTTATATCAATATCTACTTTTTTGAAACCGTGGTCAAAACATTCAATCTAATACTACATATGAAAACAGTCATAAATAGATACTTAATTCCAAGTTTTCCAGGACACATAGCTTTCAGTACTGTTGCAGGAGTTCAGTGGTCCTATGAACTCCTAGCAGATAAAAATTACAAAAACTAGATTTAAAAAAATTATTGAAAATTCTGGGAAATATCCAAAATATAAATAGAAACTGAAAAGAGTTCAATTTTTTTTTTTAATTGAAAATGGAAGGAGAATGAATTGTCAGCTATGGCTTCTTAGTCTGAGACACTACCCAAACTCACAGTATGGCAGCCAAACAAGAGAAAACTACACCATTATCAATAAAATATGACAGAGATTAGAGTTCAGGGCTGGGGAAGTAGCTGAAAACATAAGGGGAAAATACTGGTAGTGAAAGAACCACAGAAAAAAAATGACCCAAATTCAGAAAATAGTTAAACCATGCACTAAAAAGGAATCAACTAGTGGTACTGCAACAACAAAGACGAGTCTCAGGAGTATTAAGTGAAAAGAAGTCGGACACAATAGACTCATACTGTATGACTGTATTTATATGAAATTCCAGAAAAGACAAAACTATAGCTACAGAAAGTACATCAGTGGTTGCTAGTGCTAGAAATGAGAAGGAGAAATGGCTGCTAATTTTTGGAGTGGTGAATATATTCTACATCTTGAATGGTGGTGGTGGTGGTGGTCACATGATCTTATCCATTTGTAAAAACTCATCAAACTGTACACTTAAATTGGTGAATTTATTGTACATAAATTATATCCAAAGTTTTTTAAAAAAAACCTTAAAATTTTCAAGACTTTTACTTCTTGAATAATTTACTAAGAACTGTGTCATTAATTTAGAGTTCCTCTATTACTCCTGTATTTTCCCTTTCTGCTGTTTTAGAACTACTGATGAGATAGGTCACTAATGGTGTGTTGCATGTGCAAATAATGTGAATAGAGCAAAGGAACCTGATCTTTCCCAAGGATATTGTCCTAAGACATTATCCTTGGGAAAGATCAGGTCAGTTTAGAGAGAAAATTATTAGTCACTCTGGAGGAAAGGAAAGGAGTAACACAAAAATGCTTCTTAAGGTGGTCTATTAAGCAATACATATGATCTAAGAAGAACGTTAGCCTTAGTCTCTTTGATTCACATCCTCTATAAATGCACTGTCCAATAAGGTAACCACTAGATGCATGTGGCTATTGACATTTAATTTAAGATAAATAAAGTTCTTCAGCTGCATTAGCCACATTTCAAGGCATAAATAGCCCTATGTGGCTAATGGCTATCATATTAGTGTGGAAAACATTTCCACCATGAGAGAAGTTTATTGGACAGTATTACTCTATAATCTTCACTTTCAAAATAAACTAAGAGATTTTAAAAATGAAACAAGGAAGAATATGTAAGAATGAAGCAGTATTTGATACTATAAAATGTTTACAGAAGAGGGTAAAATTGGAAGAAATGAGGCTTTTTAAAGTTGCACAGAACTGAGGTCAAACTCCAATCTCATCACTTACTAGTGTGCAACCCTCAGTAAATTATTTCCCAGCAATTCAAATGATGAAACTGGTACAAAAATGAGTGTAACACTTTCTAAAGCTATCTCAGAGTTGTTGTAAAGGTTAAATGATATGAGAAGTACCTAATACAGTGCCTGGCACTAAGTATAAATATAAGTTTCTTAGTTTAATTGCAACTAAAAATAATTTTTAGTATGTTGGCTACATGCTATTAACAGTGGACAACTCCTTTTATTTTACAGTTCACAATTTTGGTTAAGATAAATCTACCAACCATTTCCTTGAATTTTTAAGGTAATAAATGTACGCTAGAATACACAAATCACTTTACAAAACAAAGTGATACATATATATAATTTTAATAATAGTGTTAATTCTTACCTTAGATGAAATGATCCGGTTATCTATAAATTTCTGAGGTGTGTAAAGGCCATTCAGAGGAAACTTGTTGGCTATATAAATAGTTCTTGTGTCACTTTGATGTGGTGGGTCAAAACCCTAAGAAAAAGCAAAGAAAAATAATGGTCAACAATATTAGTTGTTATGATTCTTTACATTTGGTTTTAACTAACTGCTCAGATTACACATATTACTGGCCTTGAATTACATACAGTATAGACTTTATTTATTAGCAGAGTTAAGCCACATATTTTTTTCATTCACAGGTAAACGGGAACATTTTATTCAGATATAAAATAACCAGGTAACAGCTCTGGTAATGAAAACAGTCCGTACTATCAGAAATGCTACCACAAGAAAAAAAATATCATAGAAGAGTAGCTAGGACCTAGTTAGCACCTACCACATGTGATGAAAAAGGTTTATATTTTATTTATTCTACACTCAGATCACCTTGGTTTCAAAGAACTTTGTTTCCAGAGGATTTACAATGCATTAGGTCTTGCTAGACTCATTCCATACAATCATCTCTTTGTGCTAATTGCATTATCAACTGACTCCCTGAAATATGGTTATGTTATAATTCTGGCCTCAAATTTAAACAACCATAGCTCAAGGTACATTTAATAATGATCTCTACTGGAAAAGTTTGCACTGATAAGAATACTAATACTTCATTCGTATAGTGTTGTACTCTTTCCCTGGTAAATCTCTGGATCTCCTTGACAAGCTAAAAGCAGTCACCAAATGCCAAAACCTTTTTATTTTCGTTCTAACAGACAATGATTTGGAATTTCTTAGATTTTTTTTTCTTTTTTCTTTTTTTTCATAGTGGTCAAGGGTTAGTTACTAGTACTACTAAATTAAAAGGTCAACAATTGTGAAGCACTGTGGGAGTGTAGAATGCACAACTTTGGTAGAAATAATATGGTCAAACTAAAATGATTAATACTGAAAAAATGCAAGTATTAATTGGTGGTAAAAATTAAGCAGGTTGGTTAAATTCCAGTTTGTTTACACTGGTATAAACACATGTATTTGGGTGAATTATAAAATATTAAACGTGAGTTAAAATATAGAGGATACAAAACCATATTCTAACTGTATTATTAGTGTTATATTTATTGAAAAATTTTAACTGAGCGAATGATTTACCTCTATTTTTACTATATAAAATGTTTAAATCAGAAAAAAAATTAAAAGGTCAATTAAATTTGATATTCATAAACTAGAATAATCTATTTTCAGATATTAAGGACTCTAATTTTATAATCTACTAAGTAATGTGGCTGCCATTCAATGCTTAGGATCCCTGTAAAAGTTCTACTAAGCACAGGCAAATAGTGGAAATTCCCATATTACCTAGAGTGATATTTTATTTAGTACATCAGAATATTAACAGTATGATGTATGCTTTTCAACTGCTGTTATTCTGATTTTTAAAAATTTATTTTGTGATCTTAGAAACAGATAGTACAGGACTGTGAATTAAATGCATTTGTATGCTCCATTAAAAAATAAACATACACGTGAAGTTAAATTTTATAGTGATGGCCTCATCTTGTGGATCTGAAGGTGCCATTTGGTGTTTGATTTCAAAATCAGTTTCTTCAAGGATATTTAGTTTTTCATTTTTTAACCTTATTTTTATTGTTGACACTATTACAGATGTCCCCACTACCTCTCCCTTGCTCACCTCCACCTAGCCCAACCTCCTTTCCCTCCGGCTATCACCACATTGTTGTCTGTGTCTATGTGTTATGTTTATATATCTTTTGGCTAATCCCTTTACCTTCTTTCATTCAGTCTCCCCTCCCTCTACTCCTTTGACAGCTGTTTGTTCCATGTATCCATGCCTCTGTTTCTACTTTGTACATTAGTTTATTCTGTTCATTAGTTTCCACATATAAATATCAGATGGTATTTGTCTTTCTCTGGCTTATTTCACTTAGCATAATAATCTCCAGATCCATCCATGCTGTCAAAAAAGATAAGATTGTTTTTTTTTAACGGCTGAGGAGTATTTCATTATGTAAATGTACTATAGCTTGTTTATCCACTCATCTACTAATGGACACTTGCGCTGCTTCCAAATCTTGGCTATTGTAAATAATGCTACCATGAACATAGGAGTGCATATATTCTTTCGAATTAGTGTTTTGAGATTCTAAGGATATTACCACAAGTGGGATTACTGGGTCAAAAGGCAGTTCCATTTTTAACTGTTTGAGGCCAACTCCATACTGCTTTCCAAAGTGGTGGCACCAGTGTGCAATCCCACCAACAGTGCACAAGGGTTCCTTTTCTCCACAAACTCACCAGCACTTGTTAATTCATTGATGAAAGCCATTCTGGGAGGAGTAAGGTGATATCTCACTGTGGTTTTCATTTACATCTCTCTGATGATATGTGATGTTGAGCATTTCTTCATGTATCTATTGGTCATCTGTATGACCTCTTTGGAGAAGTGTCTATTCAGGTCCTGTGCCCATTATTTTATTGGATTGTTTTGATTTTTTGGTATTGAGTGGTAAAAGTTCTTAATATATTGGAAATTAACTCCTTATCAGATATATCAGCAAATATGTCCTCCCTTTCAGTGGGTTGTCTTTTCATTCTGTTGGTTTTCATTTCTGTGCAAAAGCTTTGTAGTTTGTAGTCCCATTTGTTTGTTTTCTTCTAGGACTTTTATGGTTTCACAACTTACATTTAAATCTTTAATACATTTTGAGTTTATTCTTATGTACAGTGTAAGTTGGTAGTCTAGTTTCGTTTTTTTTGCATTTCCTACCCAATGTTCTCAACACCATTTATTGAAAAGACTGTCTTTACCCCATTGTATGATCTTGCCTCCTTTGTCAATTAATTGACCATAAAGGCATGGGTTGATTTCTGGGCTCTCTGTTCTGTTCCATTGATCTATGTGCCTGTTCTTATGCCAGTAATAGGTTGTTTTGATTACAATGGCATCACAATATAGTTTGATACCTCCAACTTTGTTCTTCTTTCTCAAGATTGTTGAGGCTATTCAGGGTCTTTTGGGGTTCCATATTAATTATTGGAATATTTGTTCTAGACCTGTGAAATATGTCATTGGTATTTTAATAGAAATTGCACTGAGTCTATAGATTGCTTTCGACGGTATAGACATTTTTTTTAGAATGATCTTTATTTATTTATTTATTTTTTTTTTTTAATTAAATCTTTATTGTTCAGATTA